TTTCGACCGTTCCGTCGTTTTCAAGGCCTTGTTCCACCGCGAAGTGTAGCGAAGCACTACACTTAGTTAGTGAACATTAGTAGCGAAATCAAAAATCAGTTAGTAAACATCGTCTCTAGTCAAACCTAAGAAAATAGCGCTCACATATATTTTCCCGTTTATCCGAATTCAAGCGCGGCGATATTATATTCTGGTTGGAATTGGGGTCATTGAAAACCATTCCTAAAGATTGAATCAGTCATGACAGTGGCAAGGAATTTGATTCCACATATTTCAGTCGGTCACGTGATTCACCTACTGGCACACCTGGAGAGTCGTCTGCTCAGTCAGAGGTGAGTAGAATATTTTCCGTACGTAGTAGCCTGCTTCACAACAGAGAATTTCCATAACTCGAAGTGGGAAGACTCGGAACATGAGACGTGGTACGAAGTATCATCTTCAGAAGTGGTTGTAGAGGTGGAGTTTATGTGGAAGGCGTGTACTTTCACACTGGAGCGGTCACGAGTACAGAGGTGGCTATAAAATAGATCTAACCTTAATTCAAAACGGCATTGATCACTTTGCTTTGCTAAATTCAAACCGAATGCTCCCGACTGAGAAGTAAAGTGCAGGTTCCAGTCTGTCAGACAACTGCAAAGCAGTCTCCCACCCCGGCGGCATCGGAAGATTTTGTCACGGTAAGGCCAATGTCAGACTTTGGGGTCGCCGACCGCAGACGCTAGCGAATCGCGCGATTCGCAAAGTCTGACATCGGCCATATCGGAGCACGGTTCGAGCTCAGCGAGGTCTTTGAGGGAAATGGACAACCGGGACGTTATCCGAGACGCTACTTGGAAGCGAAGTGAATATTGGTCGAGGAGATCCTCGTTAGGGTGGGTATTAGCTGGGTCGTAATCATGGGGATGTTTGTAAGGTCTGAAAGGGACCAAGCGCGAGTCTTCTCCCTATTTTAGGCCCCTCGCTGATTAAGTCGTTGATTGGTGCGTCGAAAACTCTTGAAATTGATTCACCAGGCGGTAGTGGTTTTTTCCCGAATTAGGTCCGTCAGGAAAGGTACCTAATCCAATAACTCTTTCCATAACGCGGCCTTGTCCACGGTCTTCGCTGTTTGAAACGCTTGGAAATTTCCTGGAAGTAGCGTACTGAAACGTCTTCGGTGCAACCCCAAGAAATTCTTAAGAAAACAAGGCGATTTCATTGTTGTGGAAGACCATTCAATCACATATTTCATGGCAGCACAGAAGTCGAAATTGTAGGGCACACAAAAATGAGCGTAAGCGATTAAGAACCGGGAAGGTTTGAGAAAGGCGTGAGGCTTTGTTTCCGTGATTTTTGCCCCCCCCTGTACAATATGTCGAAGTGGTCAGCTCTACTAATGCGTTTCTTGCAGAGGCGCGAGCTGCAGATCTACAAGCGTCCGGGAAACGGAACTGAAGGCGAATTTGTGGATTTAATAGCAAACTGGTACGAACTTAAGTGCAACCTAAAAGGCAAAAATGTGAGTTTTTATGATCGATTTAATCAGAACAGATCGATAAATTGATAGCAATCTCAGAGTTGCAAAATACTGGTTGGAAATGAGCTAATGACAAGCTGATGTCATAGTCACAAATGCTTTTCGGAGGGATGCTGAAGTAGAACATCCAATAGAAGAAGCCCAAGTTCGGCTACTTTGAGTTATTTGAGTATGTGAAAAGAATTGTCGCTGTATTTGGTCATTTTGAAGATGAATGTCCGAAGAATTCTTATCTCTTTATCTTGATTTGTTGAACTATTCACCGATACATGGACTTCTATTTAAAAGGGGGCGGAAGTGGTGTAGTAGCAAGTGGCTCGCTCACCACGCGAGCGGTCCGGGGATCAAATCCTGGGTCGTGAGTCGCCCGGGCCAACCAAGCCTTCCATCCCTCCGGGGTCGGTTAATTGGTACCAGACTTGTCTGGGAGGATAAAAACACTGACTTGTACATCGGCTGGCCCCCGCAAGTCATTGTATAGGCCACATCGCATTCAAATGCCACTACGAATGTACAAATGGAAGTAGAATGCGTGCCGCATCCCAAAAAAGGATTGATCAACGGCAAATGCTTTATCCTTTTATCCTCTTATTATTTAAGGAAGGAACTTCATGGAACTCCTTTTGTAACAGCTGGATACTTATCCAAACCTCTTTTCTCCGATTCTTACATATTCTTTTCGTAGACTCCCCTATTCTCTTAGTCTCAGAATCCTCTGAGTGGTGTAGGTGTGAACAACTCTCAACCGCTTTTCAGTTACGCTTAATTTATAAATAGAGGAGAGCTCCCGGACAACCCTGTGCAGATTTGCTTCGACCTAAATTCTCAGTCGATCGTTTCCCATTTTTGAGCACGATCCAGATCACTCGTATTTGATCAAGGCTTCAGATTAGGATGAATATTTACTTCATATTCAACTCATATTATTAATGGCTCGACATCGAATGCTTAGTCCAAGATAAATTCATGCGTTCTTATTTCGAGGTTTTTCCCTTTGCTTCCGTATTAGTTAGGAACGTTGAATGGCCAGAAAGCGTGGACCTGTTATAGCATGGTGATTCTTCGTGTACTTCTTTTAATCCGAAAATTTTCAGTCTTGTAAACTGTCATAAGTGAGTTTCTTTCACGCGTGCAGGTGCATGGAGAAATAGCGCTTCAGATGGTTGTATTGGTAACGCAGTTTGCATGAAATTCAAAAGTCAGTATGAATGAATTTCAGGTAAAGGCCACTTGGCCAGAATGATTGATGGTGGATTTAAAGGATATCTTTCAGCGAGACAATATCTCTTGCACTCTTATCTAAATTGGAGTAATGTCAGTTTGTGATCACTGTTGAAATAGCACACAAAGTTAATTTTTTTAATATTTGCGTTTGCTGAGGAGAACTAGTATTCAACGTGAGAGTATGGACCGAGTCGATTAGACTCAGTCGAGAGAGTGCTAGTGCGTTATGGCCATGGAGGAGAACGCCCGCTACTCGTAGCTCAAGGCTTAATACCGTATCCAGCACGCGCAATGAGAGGAGAATTCGGGTTAAAGCGGCGGCGATTTCAGGAATTCGGGTGAAATGAGACATATATCGATTTCTCGATTTGTAATTTATGACTGGTTAGCTAGACAATGTAGATATCTTAGTATGTTAGATCACACGAGGGCAGTTCTATAGCGACCATAAGTAGTTTCTAGTGATGCAATCTTCTCCAGAAGATACTAAGTTGAGCATCTATCCGTCGCTAGCATTTCGTGAAAGAGTCCAGTGTAGAGCTGATTGCTATACCGTCTCATCTGTTTTCGAAGTTATTGGAATTTTCTATCGAAAACAAGCCATACTTCTCAGTTCTTCCCGGCATTATTTATGGGCGTATATATGGTTTTGAAGCCAGGTGTTTATGGCGTGAATATGAGAGTCTATGACTGTTGTGGTGTTCCGTCTTTAATATTCCCTTTTAATAAGGGCACCATCATCGCTAGATTCTGGTTTTTGTTTACCATCTATGCATGCTCTTCTTGTTGCTGGTGAATATCGCCTTCCTTCGATTCTTGCAGTATTTAGACTTCCTTAGACTTGATGCGTCAACCATCAGTATTATTTGGGGCACTTGTCCGTGCTCACTGAATACATACCGCTAAAAGTTGCGCTTGACTTAGAAAGTTAATGCGCCAAGCTGCATTAGTTTTTTTCTCTTAGTAGTGCGTCGTAATGCTCTCTGGCCGACTTGCTTCACCTGTATCGCTGCGTCTCATGCCCCAACTAATTTGCTTCACACTGTCTTGTTCTCTCTTTTTTAGCACAGCAATTTAGGAAGGTTAAGTACCCTAAGCCTAGAGCTGTATTGACAGTATTCTCTTTTTATCTTTTATTCTTGCGGCCCATCTTAACCTCAATACATTTCATTGCGGCGCTACAGCCACACCAATAGTGTTGTGGGAGTGTCATGCCTTGTAAACTCGTAATATATAGGCAATCGATTTATCGGGAATTGTGGTTGTAGTATTGCTTTAATGGATTACAGAGTTGTGCAGAGAAGTACTTGAGTCAAGACATTTGAAAAGTTAAGCCTACGAGAGAAACCTCGATTTGAGGCTTTTCTTTTTTTTTGTCTTTTTTGTATGGCAGATCCTTTGCAAATTTATCTGATACGCGGACCATCAGTCGCGGCGTGCCACTCATAGTAGGACAGAGGATCACAGCTGCGGCTGAGGCCGAGCCTGGGGAGGGAATGAATAACGAGAGATGACTGTTGTACATAGATCTTGGACCTCAGATTGGGAGTGGTCATGATGCACAGGTGTTCGCTAGGTCGGGCGCAGCCTTGTTCGCATGCTTTGATTTGCTCGTGTCCATCTTTGCAACATTGTTTTGGTCCTCAACTTGTCTAGTCTGATATTACGGAGCTTGATATGAAGCTTATGAGAAAATGGGTTATTAAGAACAAGGATGAGCTGAGGCGCAACGCCAGCATCACCACTGCGGGACTCCAGCCTGTTTAGAGGAGCAGTCTCAAAACGGCATTCATACCGGATTGGCAGTTTTTCTGGGTTTAAAGGAAAATAGAGCATCCGAAAGTGGAGTGTCAAAAAACGGCAGAACCTTTTGAAACGCCTAATAGAAACCCAAGCCGGGAGCGATGTTATTTTCGGAAGCGCTGATTCAAACATGTTAGCAAGTGTGTCAATGTGATCGAACCTTGAACGGAGGAAATCTGACTGCAGAAGGTCGATGCCAGACTTTGCGAATCGAGCGATTCGCTAGCGTTGCAATATCAACCATTGGAGCATTTCGCTGGCCGTGACGCAACCGCGGACGCTAGCGAATTGCTCGATTCGCAAAATCTGACATTATCCGAAGAGATCTTCTATGGTGGAGAAATTCAGGTGCTAGTTATAGAGCTTTTTCTTTTATAAAATGCGCTGTTTTTCTTCTTGCAATCTTATTTCGGCTTCTTTGTAAAGCTTACCTTTTCTGTAATTAAAGGTATCTTTTATGCTACAAATAATACTGGACTTTCAGATTTATCAATATCAAATTATCGTTGAAGAAGGCAGGAAGAAGAATCGGAAAATTGTCAAGAATAGGTATGACTTCTGGTTTCGGTTCCCTTCACATATCGCGGCAGATTGGGGTGAAAATTCAGTGTTTCTGAAGCAATGTAACCATGTGGGAAAGTATAGATATGGTTGGCACTCCTGATAGTACGACTATCACTTACCCATGATTGCTATTACCCACTCCACTCTTATTTTCATGATTTGCTTCAAACGTTTCAGTCTGGCTCCAAGAACTTCCTCTAGGATTAGTTTTATCTATTGAGTACGATAATCGTTCATCGCCTGACGCTTGCGCTATGGCACCGACGCCCTCTAGCCCTGTTTCGAAGAGTCCTCACGCTCGGTTTTCTTCCCGTTGGGCGAGAATGTGTACCAATACTGTGTGTTGCCGCGTGAGAAAATGCCGTTGAATGTTGGGTGACACCCAAGATTTCGGAATGGGATTTTGGAGTGTAGATTTTTTTTGCGAATTTTCAGCGACTAAACATTGATCGGAAAAGCATTTCGCTATCATTTTGCCGTTGTCAGTGCATATTCTTGTTATTCATATTTTATAGCTATACTAGGGCGGAAGTGGTGTAGTGGCAAGTGGCACGCTTACCACGCGAGCGGTCCGGGGATCAAATCCTGGGTCGTGAGTCGCCCGGGCCAACCAAGCCTTCCATCCCTCCGGGGTCGGTTAATTGGTACCAGACTTGTCTGGGAGGATAAAAACACTGACTTGTACATCGGCTGGCCCCCGCAAGTCATTGTATAGGCCACATCGCATTCAAACGCCACTACGAATGTACAAATGGAAGTAGAATGCGTGCCGCATCCCAAAAAGGGATTGATCAACGGCAAATGCTTTATCCTTTTTTTTTTATGACGGGTATTGCCAAATATTCTTCTAAATTCCATGGCATGTCTAATTTCAGAGCTGAAGGATGGTCAGTAAAAAAATCGTATGCAACGCTTTAAAGGCAGAATTTACGATAGTACGAAGGTCAAAGAAGGGGAAATTGCATAGTTGGGAGACAGGCGGACCTCCTGAGGGTGCTGACCGACGCGCAATTGGCAGCGAAAGATTTGACCTCGGCGATCTAGCATGGCTCACTCTTGGCGCGGTTGGCGGGGTACGCCCACCGACTATCTAATCACTCGCCGCAGGTCTATACGTGGCGAGTGATTAGATAGCAGAGAGAGCGTAGTGTTGAAGAGGGCACAGCGATGAGAGTCGCATCAATGCGCAAATCAACGGGCAAGGAAGGGGTCCCATTTCTCGGGTTTCGGGCCGTTTCAAATGGTTTCTTCTTCATCCCTGCTCCACTGACCACCTTTATTTCCCATGAGCTACCATTCCGTCGTGAATTCTATCTTGAAACGAATGTGGAAAGCGTCATAGCTTCACTTGCCGTGCAGTGTACAAATTCACGTTTCCCAATGCTACAGCAGTGATAGCTTCTCCGGTCTTCCGGCGTTTAAAGCGCCTGAGTAGGAAAATTTTGTTGCTGCGATGGACCTTACTTTCTGCTGAACCTTCGATAATAACTGTTGTGGGTTGTAACTTCGTGTTTTTGCATTTGCCTTGAACGAATTCTTCACGGAGAAACCATGATCTATTTTAGCAATGAATGGGCTTGAAATAAAGCCATAAAGGCTTGAGACTCATCATCCACGATAAGAATGAAAAGAACAGAAAATTGCATTTGTTTTGGTAAAAAATTCGAAAAAAAAAAGGGCTGCTACGCGTTCAAAGTGCCCACGGACGTCTTTCACAAATGCTGGCGACGGGATGCTTCCACTTGGTTCTTGGAGTGCCTTCACTAGAAACTCTTTCTGGCCTTCTGCTTTATTGCATTCACATCTCACACTTCTACTCCATCCTATTCTATCGATCGATTTGTCTCTACTCCAAAATCGCGCGCTTTAACCCGATTCTTTCATTGCGTCGCCTGATACGTAGCCGCCCCAAGGCGGACTTCTTTCCATGCCCCGCCTCTCCGCGCGAATTACCTTCG